TTGTTCTATATAAAGGCATAACTGAATGAAAACAATGAGAAAATTATTATCAAACATTTTTTTTGACAAGTAATGAAAGTTGGTTTCGTGGATTAATAAAGCGCCGTACAGAATGAATTCTAATTTACTTTTATTCCTTTTTTTAGACCTCAACGCGATGCCTCTGCGACCTTAAAGGTGGCCTAAACCGTCAGATACCGAAGTTCTTATGAGTTTTATTAAAATCCTTACTAAATGATCCAGAATAAGCTAATTTTGATAACAGTACAAAGTGCTCCAAATCAAATTACCTTTAAAATCGTTTCTTAAAAATGATTAACATAGGGGAATCAGGAAGCAGTGCTTAATTGATATTCTATGTAGAAAACTTTTCGTAATCTCAAAAGTGTATGCCATTTATAACATATCGATTAATATCTAGAGATGGGGAGGTAAAAAAGGGATTTGGAAATGAAAAATATGTGCTCAAAATAAAACAATAGAACAAACGTAAAGGGAAAAAGTGAAAGTTAAAGTGATATGAGGAAGGGGACGGGGTAACCATTTGACACATTAAACAATCAAAATTAACTGTTGATTTATTTAATTGTTAAGTATTTTTTTCCTCTTCTCATTATTTTCATTTGCAATCGAAGCGTAAAAACAATGGAGTAAATGAACAATAACAGCAGCAGCTACATGAAATGCTCTAAGTAGGAAAATATTGCAATGAAAGGTGATGAAAATTGAAATGTCGTAAAAGAATGGGAGAATGGATTGGGTGTACAATATATTTTGGGTTGTACAGATGAATTTTGGATACTTTCTTTTATGCTTGGTCATTTTTACATTAGAAAGGACTAATGTCGTACTCAAATGGTTCATACTAAGACCCCTAATCCTATTCATTTCTCTTATAAACAGGTTAAGTCGAAGTTAGGGGATCAAAGTGAGTTCAATCACTTCTTTAACTCCTTTAAAAATGTCCACAAATCGAATTCACTCCACAAAAGTTTTCTTCATTTCTATGAAAAGTCATCAACATAATAATAATTTCATTATTTCATTAAGTGTGAGTATGTTGCCTGAGAATGATTAAAATTAAATCAAAATTTTATTCTTCCATTGTACTCTGTTGAGGAAAGTTCCTTGACTGGATATTGCTATGATGATGATTATTATTACAACAACAATGTAGGAAAATTAATTGAATATGTGCTTTAATTCAATTATTAATCTAACTAGACTTTATGATATCTTCAAATGGACATTGACAGACATTTTGATTATATGGGTGTAAATGTGTATATGAATTGGAAAATTAGGTCAAATAGAGATGAAAATGAATAATTTTAATGAAGATCGAAATTAAAATGCATGCAATTGAATATTATTACAATAATTTCCTTCGTTTTTCTTGCTACTTCTCAGTTCTTTGACTACCACTCGTACTGTTCATCTCATCTCGTTTTCGTGTTTAAGGATGCAGAAAAACGAGTGGAAAGTTAAGTACAAATCAAGAGGAACAGGAAAAAATAAATTTCTTGGGATGATAATTAGATTTGTGAGGGTATGATCTGTGTATTTACTTCAGACCATGTTCTTATGTAATTGAAATGTGATTATGATAAAGCCTAAGTGGAATATTGTTGACGTAACATGTTAAGGTCATGTTTGTTTGGAAGCCTGTTGTTTATTCAACTGATCTTAATTACAATGTTTGGTTCCAACGATGGGTGTAGGTTTGAGGTCTTTAAGACTTAATGTGTATCTTTTAGTAGATCTACAAGTATCTGAGTTACTTTTTCAAAGAATACACGAATTGATTCTAGGTACAACAAATAGTGGAAAATACAATTTACACTTAAATAAGCTTCCATCCCCAGAACAAAGGTTAAAAATCTGATTTTTTCCCACTTCCCATCCTCTCTCGATTTATTGTCTTTCTATTCTTGAGATGCTGTGTCTGTAAGATAAGCGAATGAGAAAAGGAAGAATGCAAAGCCAGTAAATAAATGAGAGAAAAAGAAGAAAAGAAAACTTTTCTTCATCTTAATTAAATTACAGTTTCCATTGCATTTGGATTGCTTTCATGCAATAATGAAGATGTAGAGAAGGCGTCTTGGTCGATTGACTTGATATGAGTGAGTAGAATGAATGGGAAAAGCAAGAAAGGATATTCAATTAATTAAGATTTATTCGCAATCAGTAATTGGAATATAATCAGATTGGTGACAATGAGGGATTTCACAGTAAATAGAACTGAGACTTCATCTTTTTGTGAAGCTTTTTTTTATTGTTGATAAAAAATCATAAATATTTTACGGCAAAAGTGCAGACTTTTTAATAGCTTTTCATTTCTTTATAAACTCTTATTTTTCTATCCATCATGGCATTATTTATGATCATACCTTTCTGTGTACTTTTCGGACGTCAACAACCAACGACAAAGTAGCTTAAAGACATAAAATAACTTAAAAGAATATATATTTTCTTGACAATTTCGTTGACATAATTGTTTATTTATTATCTTAGTAAAAACGAATTGAAAAGTTTCCTCTGTATGGTTGCGCTGAAGACGATATGGCTTGAGTAAAATTAAGGGTCATAAATTATTTAAGAAAAAAAAGGTATAGAAAAAAAAAGTTTTTCCTACACTGCTGCACATAATAAACATGGAAGTCACATTCAGCTTCTATTATATGTTTTTTTTGTTTAAAAACCAATTTAATATAATGTCAGAATCAAAAAAGAATATTGTTGAGGTTTTAAATGTATCATCGGATTGGACATTTTGATGATATCTGGGGCAATTACTTGATAAAAACTTAACAAAGGTGCATGCTTGCTCATCATGTGGCAGAAGCGTAGTCAATGAGGAACTAGTATTGAAAATGAGTAAGAAAAAAGAATCATGTTCCACTCCGCCGAGAAATAGGATCCAACCTTAAGTATCAGGACTTCAATTTCAATTGACATCATTTAAGTCCATCCAAATTTAAGACATAACATTTGAATGATTCCAACTCACAATCTTTATTCGCTAAACCAACGATTCCCGCTTCGTGCCTCCTGTTGTCAACAACAGTTGACAATCATACTATTGCGGTTGCTATACCATCTACATATTTTACTCGAATTGGTACGGAATAATTTTAAATTCCGAAATGTCAACCTCGATATCTTAAACTGTTGAGTATTAAGAAATCGTGGACCACACTTAAAACTTCTTGATTTCTTCTTTCTTTTGCGAGTAATTGTAGACGAATAAGCAGACTGAGGGAAATAGAAGAAAAAGTGCTTTATGCTCAATGCATGCAATCATTTTACTTTTTGACTTTGATCTTCCTTCGTTATTTTTTTCATTTTCAATTCCATTCCTTTTATTAATACTTATCTTATTTTCTATATTTGACTTAAGCTGCATGCGGCGGCATGCTTTATTGTTTTCAATATTTTTTTTTGTGCTGAATAAATCGTTTCTTTGGATTTATTTTTTATTTTTTTACCAGACGAAGTAAGTGAATATTGGATTGTAGGAAGACTTTTGGATTCACTTTAGGAATTTTGTGACTTGCGAGTTTAGGAAAATTTTGTTTGCTCGAGTTTTTGATTGGTACACACTACATTAAAGGATCATTAGAGATCTATTAGGTTATTTCCATGCCTCGATCTTGTTCCAGCTACGAAAACTCAACTAAATCGAGATATTGACTGTATTTAAGCCATTAATAGTTAGACTGGATATCTAGGATAATTTTTCTGAAACCTTTTATGACGAATGTCCGCAAATAAACTCATAAACATTTCAAACATCTCTCAATTATGCAGAGCTTTCATGACAATGAGATGCACATATTAAAAAAATTCTTCCGTGTAAATAACACTAATAAATCTAGGAATTAAGCCTGATATTAAACCACAAAAGCCTCAATAACTTTTTACATCCACAATATTACTTCTTTTATCTCATTTCTCTTTCAAAGCATTTCCATATTTTCATTATAATTTAGACTTTGAACCATATTTTCTTGTCATGACATCAAGTGGATAGAAGGAAGATGTGTAGCATGAAACAAAACCAAAAATGAAATCAGCTTGTTGAAAAATGATTTTCATTTGGTGATAAGCTATACAGAAATGAGATGAAAGAAGATTTCTTTTTGTTTTGTCTTTTGCCTTTATTTTCGTCTCTAAATTATTATTTTTTATTGTTAAATGTACACTATGCTCTTATTATGGTTTGTTCCTTCTTTTTTTTTTGTGTTTTATAAATGTTGAAAACATACAAACTAAGAAATAATTTTAATACAGCAAAGAGGTGGTCGTTGACAAATGATGTCTATTTAAAATGAAAAATATATGCATGAGTTATGTCCTTTGTCATATGAATTTTATAGGAAATAGTTCATCACAATGGTAATGAAGGGAATGCAGTAACATTGTTAATACATTTAGTAAACTTGGCCAAATCAAGCCATTTTGCATAGGTTTTGTGGAATTTTGGAACATTTGAAACCGAATTAATATAATTAATCATAAGGAAACTGGAACCCTAGCCTACTAGTCCCAGTCTCTGGTCAGGTACCTTAATCATTTGATAACCTGGCTTCTATCAAGCTTCTGGAGTAAATTTGGGTATTTTTTGTATTATCTAAGCTTCACTTTGTGTCAAATCTCATTGATCGTAGTGATGATACATCATAGCGACTACACTGTTCTTTAGGATAGGTTCTTAATGATATCTAGACATCATCCTTGAACATCCCCTCAAAAATAAAAGAATGAAATGTTGAGATAGAAAAATGAAAAACGAAAGCAGAATGAACGTCTGCTGTTGAAATGTGTGGTTCTTTTCGTTCCGAATTCTCATATTTTTTGTTCTTGCCCTGGAGGAATATCAGTACAAAAATAAGAGCGCTAAGCGAGTTTCCAAGAATTTCAGTAAAATTTATTTCTTCTAAATCTTTTAAAAAATTTCTTTAAAATTCATTCCTTTTTTTAACAATTCTCATTCGCAGATATTATCAAGGTATAGCCCAATTTTTAACGGAGTGTAAAGAGCTGAAAGGTCCACAGCAAACGCAACACTGCCGACTAAATTTATGGCCAATAATCGAAGAAGTGTAAGCAGTCATCGTCGTCGTCGTGTGCACAAAAAAATAAATGCTTTGCTGATGAAATCATTGAATTCATTTCTTCTTCCTACTCTCTATTGCTTTATGCGCTGCTGCTGTTCTTCTTGTTCATTCACTTCTTCATCTGAAGTTGAGGTGAAGAGAGAAACTACATTGTGATGCATGTGATGATTGTTAACAAACAAGAATGAAACAAAGAAAACAAAAAATAACTCTCGATTTAATAATAACAATCTTCAAATATATAATATATAACATGTAGATACTAGCGTGAAGTGGAGTTGACTTTAAACGAGCTTTACTATTGGTAAATTGTTTTTAGTAAGCTTTAATAATTTTGATGACTTTTTTTATGTTTAATTTTTTTCAAAAGTTTTAACACAAAAATTGAAGGGGAAAGAATTATTTTTTTTTGAAAATCCTAGTTATATAAGTTGTAAACTAGGTTGTATGATAAGATAAATGTTTTCAATCATATGTACCCCTTAGCATCCTAATGGACTGAACTGTTCTCATTGAATAGTAATTTTGAGTTTATTAATTAATATAGTAACTGAAAAGTCGATTTAATAGGTTTTTGCAGTTGTGACAAATTACTTAATTTTATAACAATCATCAAATTACAACTAATTGATAGACTATGACTTATTTGAAGTCCTATATTTGACAATATTGATTTAAAGGTGAATTTGTAAGGTCTTCAATCTCTTCTGATATATAAAATTGATGTTCAACCTTGCTTTACTTATTTAATCGACTTTATTGTTACTAATGTTGAACCATTGACAATTTATCTACTTGATTTAGATTTAATTTTGAAAAAAATCTTGTTTTTTTTACAATAATCAATTCAATGTCTTTAGGAGTAAAATTTTAAAATCCAGATAATCTTTTAGTTTTTAAGCCAAATGTTTTAATATTTTTTAAAGCTGAAAATGGAGTATGTTGATCAGAATCTTAACTTTGGTTGTTAAGCTTTTGGTAGAAAAATAATATCAAACTGAAGATATTTTCAACATATTTCATTTTGGACTCGAACTTACAATAAAGTAAAAATTTGTTAATAACGCAAAAATGCCAAAACTAAATTGCTGACTTCACAAAAGTAAACTTTATTTGCTTAACGCCAAAAACGAGATTGTTATTCTTTTTATTTCACGCTTTATAACAATATTAAGCGCACAATATCGATCTGTTTAATTGGGGAGGATTTCCACTCTCCTCTTTGTTCCTCACATTCTTCAAAATTTATCTTTATTATTTCTTTGAATTTAAGTGGCTGTTGAAAGTGAGAATCTTTTTTACCTTCAGGATGTTTTCATCGTTTGAACGCAAAAATCTTTCTTTGTTTTTTGGAAATACGAAAGAAATTGAATCAACATTTTGTTGCCATAATGTTACGAAGTGTTTACTGCTTTTGAGGTAGCTCAATTTCCATAATAATTTTAGACACAACGATTACAGTGGAAAGAAATTGTTTTATTGACGGATATCCTTGGAAAAAGTTTGGTTGGATTTTGTATTTTGGAAAAGTTTTGTTTACGATTTTCTTTGTTAATCTGTTGTTGTTTTTGCTGCAATGGGATTTTGGCATTTAAACTCAAATTTAAACTTGGAAAAAATTGCAAAACCTAATTGATTTTTCAGTCCAGGCTTGTTTAGACTCAACTGTTGAATTGAATTTCATAAAGTATTGTGGGCGGATCATTGCTTTAATGTCGACAACATTCATTTAATGATTGTGAGATCGGCCTTTGGTAAAAATTAAACTTCTTCATAAAATAGGTTTGCGTATTCATAAATCTCCAAGAGAACTTACTTTTGTATTGAAAGAACCAAAAATCTAATGAAATTTCCTTATAGGTTTTCCATTGCACACCCCATAAAAACCAAAAATATTAACTCTATTGATCAAAAAAAAAAACTTACATTCTACAATTTCTACAGACAAACAGGAAGTAAGCAAAAACTATTGAATAAAATTCAAACTCGTTGTGGCAATCACTAGAAACAAGGAAGGAGGGCTCTTCAAATTCAGAATTATTTTTCAAATTAATTTTGACAATTAGCAAAAAGGGCATGACAAGTTGTTTATAATGAAACAGAAAGTATTATATTCATGAAATTAGTGCCATAATAAGTATGAAGGTAAAGAGGAAAATTATGAAAAATTGGACAAATAGGAATTTTAGGAAGATTTTGAGAAAATGCAGTTTTCTCGTTTGGAAATCGGTTTTCACTGGTTTTTTAGAATTTGATCTTGAGGGAACAATAGTTTTGAAAAGACAGTCTTAATCATAGAATCTTAGTCAATCGATTGCTGAATCCAGAAGTTTCTACATGGAGAGAGGGTCAGAAGAGAGAAGAGGGGGGGGGGGGGGGTGTTTGAGATTTTTGTCTCCAGAAGCCCTAGCAAATTTATAGCAAATAGAGAACTGGTCCCAAAACTCCTCTCTAGATTGTTCAGTATTTATTACCAACTATAATTTATGAGAATCGAACTCTAACCGCTCGAATATATAAAGTCCTACTCGACTAAGGTCATCATTAATTTGAATAAAACTACGCTAATATCCATTGAGTATATCAAATAATTATAATGAAAAAAATAATTTCATTTCTCATTTTTCAACAGTCAACTTAGAGTCATCAATTTTAATATTTATTATAATAATGATTTGATTCATTTGAGGGTAAGGCGAATACTTCAGAGTATAATAATATATAATTTTAAACAGACAAATAAAATTCGTTTACTTTTGAATGACAAGCTTGAATGGTTTTTCATCCTTCTTCGTTTTATGAGTGCCTTTTTGAAATGACAGGCTCATGAATAAGTAGATAATATTTTGACAAAATAAATAAGCAAGCAAAAAATATATAAAATGCTATAAACAATAAAAAATTTTTCGCTTTTTTTTAAGTTGAAAAACCATAGCGGTGTGCTGAAATGATTAATTTAATAAATATCAACGAAATATGATTTCAAATTTTTATCGTGAAACATCCGATAAAATTTGTTTGTTCACTAAAACGTAAATGATATGAAAAATTTCCCTCCCTTTTAACTGTAATTAGATGCTGAAAATATCAAGAAAATTTTGACATTGAAATTTGATTAGTGAAATGTAAGAAGTTGAAAATATAAATTTTGTGAAGAGATGTTCCAAGGGATAGGATTCTTTACAAGATAATAGAGTTTGAATCAAGAATCCAAAAATCTAAGGAATGCTCTATCTCTGGGAGTACTCTTGGATTATGATTGAACCCTAGTTAATGAATAATATTATAGCTCAAGTACAGCCTGGTTTCTTGTCTGGTAATAACCTCCAAATCATATCTCTAAGGTGAGTTGAATTCATAACTTAATACCGAGCAACTGCTGTTTAAAATCTATTATCTTCTAATAAGAATTGAACCTTAACTACTTGACCATAAAAGCTATCTTTTTGTCTTAACAATCGATTTGACCTCCTTGATTGGATTCCCATCTCTAGGAACACGATATAAAACTGACAAAAAATGATAAAGAATGTCTAAATAATTAATTAAAAATTCCCATGTAATTAATCTTAAAGCCAAAAAAAAGAACAAAATTATAAAAGAATTTTTGTTTGTTATTTTTTTATTATTTTAGTAAACAAAAATATTTAAGACATGAAATGTGTCTTCTCATTTCTATCATTTTCTTAATATTTTCTTGTTATTATGATATGACATAAATTAAAAAAAGAAAGAATATTATAAACTTCTGTTTAAGAATGATCGGCCTGTTTCACTAAAGTGGATTATCCTCGATTTCGGATTATCCACTTCAGTTTTTTGGAAATATCTCCAGACACTTAAGATTTTTAAGAGATCTAATGTGTGATCTAGTTAGAGTACTTTGCTACTAAAATTAACATATACTTAGAATTTTTATATCTTCATTAGTTTGAGAATTATAGCAAAAATCGAAGTTAATCTAGTAGATTTGGCTAGAAATTTGAATAATTAATACTTCTTAACGAAAAGCAAAAGTTTAAAGTGTACAGAAATTTCAGGCATAGTTCACTCTATTATAATCCAAAATTAGAAATACCACACCTCCCATAAAGTTTAAGATATATGCAAAAAACTGAATAGGATAATCCGAAATCGAAGATAATCCACTTTAGTGAAACAGGCCGATAAGTTTTCATTCATTTTCATTTCCTTCCTCTTTCCCATTTCATCTATCATTGAGGCTTCTTCAGCTGTATTGTAATAAGATTCAATGAAGAAAGAAAATATTGTCAGAGATGAAGGAAAGGAAGATGAATAAAGAAGAAAAAAAAATTGTAATAAATTGCGCGCAATGATGAGATGCTGATGATGATAAAAAAAATCTCTTGTTTATTTTTTCTTGCTTTTTTGAGGTATTTTCAGGTTATATTCTGAAAATTTTGGATTTTTTTGGAAAGCCATCAAATTAGGAGATGCAAGGACTTCAATGATTTAATATCATTTATCTTCAGAGGGCTCTAATTCTAGACTCAGAAGTAGTGTTTCGACAAGTGAGCTAGTATTGAGCTAGTAGTGAGCTAGTAGTGAGCTAGTATTGAGCTAGTAGTGAGCTAGTATTGAGCTTGTAGTGAGCTAGTATTAAGCTAGTTTCGACAAGTGAGCTAGTATTAAGCTAGTAGTGAGCTAGTATCGAGCTAGTAGTGAGCTAGTATTGAGCTAGTATTGAACTAGTATTAAGCTAGTATTGAGCTAGTAGTGAGCTAGTATTGAGCTAGTAGTGAGCTAGTATTGAGCTAGTAGTGAGCTAGTATTGAGCTAGGATTGAGCTAGTATTGAGCTAGTATTGAGCTAGTAGTGAGCTAGTATTGAGCTAGTAGTGTGCTAGTATTGAGCTAGTAGTGACATAGTAGTAACCTAGTAGTAACTTAGTAGTGAGCTTTTATTAGAATAATTTTTATTAATTCCAATTTAATCAATAAAAGCTTCCCATGTTATCCTTTCCTTTCCCTATTTATAAAAAAAAAAAAAAAAAAAAAAAAAAAAAAAAAAAAAAAAAACCTTTACCTATTCAGATCAATTGTGATCCAGAGGTGCGCTAGGGCGATTCGCAGCTAATGAGAGTTTAACGAGTGAGGATGCGCCAAACCACTGCACTCAAACCTAGACCTACAATTTATAGTGGGATCCGAACCACTCCTTTGATGACATTTCTGTCTGTAGCCTACAAAGGAAGGCTGTGAGCCTCATTTCCAGTACATATGATTCGAAAAAGAACAAGTGAAAAATTTCCCATACCCAGTCTCGAACCCATGATCGCTGTGTCGGTATTGCAATAATTAGGTACCGAAGTACTAAACCATTCCGCCACCGAGCCACTTCAGCTCACACCCCTATTTATATTCCAGTTAAAGTAATAATAAAAAAGAAACTTTTAATGATTCTCAATTTCTCTTCTCTAGACATAATTACTTCCGTATATCCGTGTAAAATCTACATAGTGAT